AATTGTTTTTATTTATAATACTTAAATGTTATTTTAGGAGAGAGAATAATTTATAATTGAATAAGATAAGGATTGATTGCCTCCTTCTTTGAGGGCGTTATTTGACTGACTTCTAAGCAGAAACATTTCAATCATTTAAAATCTGCTCATGTTGGTCAAGCCTACAAACCGCCTGTATTTTGACTAAAGTATTATTTTTATTGCAAGATAAGCACCTTTACAAAGCAAATTGAATAAATGATGACAAACCCTCCTTCCCTCCTTCCCTAGCACATAAGTGATTCTAGTACTGCTTTGAGGCATCCCTCAAGTAAAATAACATAAATAGAATGTGAGAAATCGCCACATTTTGTAGGCTTCACACTTAGTATGAAAAACAAAACTTCACTTTGCCCTAACATATCCTCTAATTTTTTCCCCTTAACCTATGGATTTTATTCAGTTTATTGTCATTTATTCAAATGGTCCCAGAAATGCTTCAGCTCCTTTGACTTCTCTGGCTTCCCTCACAGAATATATGTAGTCTGTTGGTACAAACTGGTAAATAGGGTCAATTTAAAAATTCGTTTCACTGCAAATTTGTTTCACCACTTTTTCAGAATGGTAGAATTCTGACACAAATATTTTGCTGGAAAATAATAGGTGTAATGGAATTCAAATCATTCAAAGCGTAAAAGCTACTTTCCCATAATAAAAGGACATCGAGGAAAACAACACAGCCTATATGGATTTTAGCTTGAGTTTTAACAAATTTAAGAACCTAAAAGAATATTCCATCTGCCAGCCTTCAGTTTCTTTTGGTTTATTCAGTTGCAAAGCATGAGAATTTTGAAGAGATCGTAAACAAATTTTACACTAAGGTTTTTATGTTATATCTATGCTTTGACTCCAAAGCTGTATCCTTTCTCCCTCCCATCACATGCTTAGGAGACTGACCCTCTTTCTCAAAGACATAAATAACTTTGTAAAATAGATTTTATACTAACTTAATTCTATGCTCAAATTTCTTCTATTTGATGAGAATTTTAAGTGACACAGAGAAACAGTTGTTAGAAGAAAAGGATATTTTTACACTACATACAAATAGATGGCACTAACATCTATGCGTATGACTTAAAAGCAATGAATAATTTCTTAAATGTCTTATTATTGTACCACTGTGCCGTTCTCAAATGTTGCCTGTATATCCTTAGGAAGCATTATCATCTGTCCAGGAAACATATAACAGATATTGCAATAGCAATATTACTGAATAGCTCTTTACATGATTCGGCACCAAAGAAATGCTCCACCAAAAAAAAAAAAGGGGTACAGGTGTATTTTTCAGTCTGCTTTTCAAAATGAATTTAAGAGATTCAGCTAAAAAGCTTAAGTTCACTTACTGTGATCAGATTATTTCAAAGCATTAGACACATAAAATATTACTTTTGAATAATTCTCTGAAAAGTAAAGTACATACTGCAATAAATAAGATTTTAAAGTGTTTTAATTATAAGTAGTTACAATTTAAGTTATGTGTATATAGATCATATGTGGTTAAGATATATTATTTTAAGCTCTGTCACAAATAAAAGGTAAGCACCAGTGTGGCATAGCACTCATCAGTAAGATTACATTATTCTTTAAAGTTCTGTATCATTATATATGAATTATGTATGAAAAAATTTAATTTGTCTACTAATATTCAAATACATCTTTCTGTGTGTACCACACCATATAACAACAAACGTACTTTTCTACAAACTTGAATATTTAGGCCTTATATAGCCTTTAGAGATTCCTACATAGTCATATTTAACATGCATATTGACACTTAATAAAAACTATTTGATTTAATGATTAACTATAGAGATTATAACAAATTGTAAATAAGTCATTGTCGTGAATGGACGCTCTACGGGTGTCACACGGCCTCTCAAAGCCACTCTAAATATCCTCACTGAAACTCTTACGGACTAATGTGCTACATTTTAAAGCCAAATTGGGTTTTCACTCCTCTCCTGCCAAATTAACGAAAGAGAATGCCTCCCATAACAAAATGCAAGCCCAACTACAAACTCATTCCTAAAGATTAGAAAAAGAGGATACCTGGCTGAAAGTTAAAGAAAAATTTTGGTTTTGAAAGAACTGTTTTGTAAACAGCCCTTTAGCCAGAGGAAAACACCATGTTCAGAGAAACTGAAGGATTGTGATTAACAGTAAATTAGTAATTACTGGACAAAATCAGAAAACTGGATAATTCATCCCTTTCAGATAAAATTTTCCTCTTAAGGGCTTGATATTTTGGGAAAAGTATTCTGTGAAACTGAATTACCTGGGTCAATTCAACTGGTTAGGGTAGGCAGACTTACAAGGTGTTCAGGACCTAAAAGAAAAATTTCAACTTCGTTTCATTGCTCTGCCCTTACCTTTTCCTATTACAATGTTAAAAATTTAGAGTTTATCTTTTTCACAAGAAATTACACAAATTGATTTGAAATAGATTTAATAGGTGAGTTTACAAAATCCTAAAAATTTGTCTCTGAAAAATGAATTAATATATTTAAAATCATTCAATTATCAGTGCAAGATGAGTGATTAACATTCTATGGATTTAAAAAATCTAGAGGACTGGGTAGAGCTAGAAACATAAAGTCTTCCGATTTACGTACGCAAGTAAAAAGATAAATTCTCCTACATTTTAAGACAAAGGATAGCATACTAAGATATTTTGCCATGTTTCTATAAACAAAAGATTAAAAACAAAAGCCTTTTAGCATAAGGGTCAGAATCCTGTCAGTGTAAAAGGAATTTAAAAAAAAAATAAAACTATTGCTTCATTTTAGCAGCATTTTAGCATTTAAAAGCATTGCTAGCATTTTAGAAGCAAAAGACTAGAAAACGTTGGATTCTTTGCCCCTGTTTCAAAATACATTCTTACTAGATTCACTGCACATCCTCAGCAAATTGAAACTTTACAACTATTGTAAAATTTAGTTCAAAGGATACAAATTAAATCTAAAATTATGAGTTTCCTATCCAGAGTATATAAAAAGTGACTCGTTAGAAATCAAAGAACGTTTAAAACTGTACAGGAATAAAATGTAGTATATACTTCAGTATACAAATTAGGAAATTTTTGAGCTCTTAAAACTTAAAAACAATATTCTTGCATGAGACAATGGGATTTTTTCTTTTAGATCAAGTTTTATATATGTATTTTGCTGGTAAAATTTGCAAGAATCAAGGTATTTTAAACAGTGATACTTGTATTTTAAAAAGCTGGTGATGGTTCAAAACCAAAGATTAACTTGGAAAATGAATGTTACAGCCATATTAATGTAAACTATTATAATTTTAATATAGCAGTCAACTTTTTCTAACCTTCCAATAACTTAAGTATAATGATTATGACAAGTCTGCTAAAGACTATTCTTGACTCACCTATTAATCACCAGAAAAGAACCCCAAACCATTATCTTAAACATGCATATTCTTCTCATATTTTCCCTAGGGTATACCTAGACTCAATGCCAGGCCCATGCTCCTTTAAGGCATAATTGATTACCTAAAAGAAAAAGATGTTTTCAAAACTAAATGAAACCACATAAAATATTAACCATGTATTAGCTAGATGTCAAAGAGGGGAGGAGCAATTTGAATAACATTCAAATGATTTGAATGATATAACTAATTATGTAACTAATTTTCTTTAAATGATATGACTAATTTTCTTTTAAAAGTAGACAATAAAACAACTGACTGCTTCATTTATCAAATACGGAGGTTTGTATAACACTATTGAGTTTTGCAAGGAATGTTTTAAGAAATTATTTCCAAAGTATCTGTTGTAAGTATATCTAGTTAAGTGGGTTAAGATAGCACCTTATTTAAAATTAGATACTACTCAGTGAAATTCACTTTGACCATCAACATCTTCTGAAAGCTCAGGATACTTTGACCAATTACAGTTGTAACTGCAAACACTAAATCCCCTTTGACACTGTCTTCAATCCCATCTTACATAACCTTGTAACTGCTCAAGAAGTTATTTTGTCAGAGTTCATTCATTTCTCTTTCATTTGAAACAATGGTTAAAATAAGTGAGTTTCAAGTAGCAGAAACTCCCTTTTCTTTTGTTAAAGGGGTAATTCCAAATTACAGTTTCTATTAATGTATTGATATATCGTATCCTATTCTTACTTTTGACAATAAACTAAAGCTGTATTTTCTTCATATGAATCTTAAAGGCTGGACATTTGGGACATTTAGCATTTCATGATTTACTAAAGCTCTTTCAGGTTCATACCAGGCCTGCTTGCACTGAGGATTGTTGGTAACAATTTCTTTACAGTACTATGAGGTACTTAGTTCAGTCAAGTCCTTAGGTTAACCAGCAGTTTTTGTCACCCTGATGTGCCTAACAAGGAAAGCATTAAGTTGGGACAATCACAAAAAGCTAGGGAACACTTCTTTTAGTAATTTGTGTGTATTTAGTTATATTTTATAATTAAAACAAGAATTAAAATCTGGGAACATCTGAGTCGCCCCAAAACAAAAAGGATGACCTGACTGATCGAATGCCTGCTAATTCAATTGCCGAGAATTCCAGTCATTAGCCAAGCAGTCTTCCAAATTAAGACATCCGGTCTCCTTCAATTTTCCACTTAAACTAGAACACAGAAGAATTGATCTGACCAATCAACTTAGGATAAAATTACCCATGAAAATGACTTGTAGTATAAAGATTTGTAGCTGAACAGAGTATTAGGGGGTGGGGTGAAAGAAACTATGCTGCCACTCCACAATTTTATAGGTTCAGATTTTTAGGGAATTACCTTAACATTTTTATCTAGGTGGCAGACACTGGGTCCGTTTTTTATGTGCACTTAGTACCATCTCAAATCACCAGATGGAAATATATTTCCATATCAGTAACTTAAGGTATTCTAAAACTCAAGATACCTCATACAGATTTCGGATCTATGCCATAACCACACTTTTAAAAAGCACACAAGAAATTCTCAGTTCATATAATTTATTGCAGTTAGCACACAGTTTAAAAATTCACCAACACACCAATAGTACAAAACTAAACAGCATTATAAGTTATTCCCCCCTCAGGAAAATAAAACATACTATGATTGTCAAAGCTAGATGTCAGTCTAAGTTTTAGAACAAAGGAAGAATGTGAAACTAATAAAAAGAAAAAGCAATCACTCACAATGACCACAAAAGAAAATCCAAAAGAAAGTCCGTTTTCTCACAGACATTGATTGTCTTCTCTAAATTAATAAAATTTTAACATAAACTGTATTTAAAAAAAACTAGAAACTCTTCAAGTAACTAAAGATAATGCTCCAAGGCCATTTTCACAGCTTTTTTTGTTTGTTTGTTTGCTTTAAATGCCATTACAGCCAAATTAACACACATTTGACCAAATATTTCCAAAACAGTCCAGCAACACACAATGGAGTTTTCCATTCAGTATCTTAAGCACAAAAATAGGCTATGTTTACAGTAGTTAAGGCGATCAAATTTTAAACAAAAGCAATTAAAAAAAAAGGGAAAAACAGCAAACGTTTTCCATGCTACTCCCATAGACCTTATTTGTAAGTGCAAGACAGGAAAACAAACACTGTGCAAAATGCTTTTGCCCTGTGTGCTGGTCATTAAAACCACACGTTGGGCTGCAGCCTCTGCTGCCGAGATACACATAAGTCTACTAACCCCCATCCCCATGTCAATCAAGGCAGTCCAGTCCTTTCAGCCTGGGGCTTTTTCAGTCCATAGAATCTTTTCAAGAGTTTTTTTTTGGGGGGGGGATTGGAAGGGTGGGGGGGGGCTTTTAATAAGGAAGAAGGGGAGAAAAAGAAAAGGAGAGCTAAAAAAGAATGACCTATTGTCAATTTGTGCAGTAGTTATTCTAAAAATGCTCAACTGGGTAAATGTATACACCTAAACTCTGAGCTGGCATGGGTTTTGTGCAATTAATTTGTTATAAATGCACACTGCACATGCAAATCTTTAAGCTGTTTGTAAACATTTATATTTTCCTTGTTATGTAGCAAAGTTATCAATTTGCAGCTTAAGTTTTTATTCAGCTTAACAGTTTCAACTTAAAGACAGTGGGAAAGTCAATTTAAATTATATAAAATAAAAATAAAAACAGTGCATTTACGTTCTTCATAACACCAGGTTCTTTTCCAAATGGTGCTATTTTTCTAAGGAAATTAAATAATTTTAAAACTCACTCGTTAAAGTTATACAATGCAAACAAAGACAAAAAATATATTGAAACTCATGCATTTCTGTAGCGTTAATATTTACTTTTCAAGACTCAACTAAGAGCATCAACACAACCTGTCAAGTTCTTTGACAACCCCCCCCAGCCCATGTAATCAATTACAGTATACAATAACAGTAATTCACATTTTCAACACACAGTTCAACACTGCTGAAGCTGCAATATCCTTTTTCATCCCAAGCAAACCTTCACAACGACAGCATCCCAGTGATCCCAGTGTACTTTCAGAATTTCTCTTAATGGGAACCGTCAGAAAACCAGAAGTTGCCACAGAAAGTTTTAAGTCAACTGCCTGTTTAAAAATAGATAATCCAGCATTTCAGAAAATTTCCATTTGGGTCTAAAAGCATTCAGGTTTCCAACAGCCAGCAAGGGTTCATGCAATTTGAGACATATAAAGAGGATAATAAAACCAAAGGAATTTCTATCTTTTTTTTTTTAGGAAAAAAAAAAGTGGGAAAAAGAGAGTTCCAAAGACAAAGCAGTGTTGACAAAATTAAGCCATATTAAAAGTATTTTGTGATAGGACAATTTGTTTCAAAGTTTCTTATTGGCTTACTTCCCCTTAGCCCCTGGAAAGAAAAACACCTCTCTATTCTCTGACTTGTTCTAAAGTTTCTTTTATCAGAATGCTAAATTAGTGAGATTCTCATGCTATTCTAAAGTGCAAAAACAAGTTAATATTCCAACTTTTTAGTTCCAGGAAACAAGACTGCTTTTAGACCGTACCACAACTATATAGAGATCTATTTATATATATGTATAGATATATTATTTATATATATATAGATATATATAAAATTATTTCCAAAGTTCTTGAGAGCTATCTTCTAAGGTCCAGTCTCTGACAGTGGGCAAGCTCAGGGCTTCGCTTTTGACAGACAAGGAGTTCACCAACTCACAGTGGAACTTGCGGATGTGTCTGTACAGGTCTCCGGACTGTGTGAACCTGCGCTCACACCACTTGCAGGCGTGGGGCTTCTCGCGCGTGTGCACCACGGCGTGGCGGCTCAGGTTGTGCGAGTACTGGAAGCTCTTGCCGCACTGGGTGCACGTGTAGGGCTTCTCGCCCGAGTGAGTCCTCTCGTGACGCTTCAGGGTGTACATGCAGGAGAAAGTCTTCCCGCACAGTGAGCAGGTGGGGACGTTGACATCGGTGGCCGGCTTGCTGCGGAGGCCGTCCTGCTCTCGGAAGTGCGTGCTGAGGTGAATCTGCAGGATGTGCGGGCTGGGGAAGACCTTGTTGCACAGGGGGCACATGAAGATCTGGCCCGCCGGGCTCAGGATGTTGGAGACATAAGGCAGCAGGCTGCTCTCCATGCCCCCCTCCACCTGGACCCGCTCATTCTCTGGGGTCATCATCTCATCATCGCTGGCTTTGTCCTCCCGCTCGAGCTCCCTCAACACCGAGTCCTCCCTCAGCGGAGCCAGATGGGCCGGCTCATACTGTACCCTGTTATTAGTGCTCACACTTTCTTTCACAGTGCTATGTTCCATGTCATAGTCATTAGTGCCAACATCACTCTCATCACAGGAGGCCTCTTTCTCCACCTTCACCTGCACCAGGTTGCTTCTCAGCACGTCCTGTGAAGAGAAATAAGAGCTGTTCAGATTTTCAACTCCTGAAAGGCTGGACTTGACAGACAGGTCCAGCACACAGTCAACATCTGCTGAATCCCTCACGGAGGTGACAGACCTCTGGGACAAAGACTCTGTTGAGCTGCAGGGACTGGCTACTGTTTTTCCAGCTGCTGTGGCGTGTGGCTCTGCCTCTCCGCCAGCCTGGGGGATGCCTGCTGAGTCTGAAGGCAATCGCATCCACATGTTCCCAGGCTCAGCCGCCAAGTCCCGTTTGCTGGGCAGGATGTTCAATTTTTCATCTTCTCCTTCATCTTCATCACTGGGCAAATCGCCTGCCATGTGGCTACTGCCATCAGAGAGACTCTCGACTTTGTCTGAACAACTTGAAGCATCTTCTTCCTTTTTGGTGCTGTCTGCCTCTGTGGTGGCTTTCTCTTTCAGCTTCTTTTTGCAGACTTTGACAATGTCATACATGTGGAGATAACTGGCAGCTGCTAGCACATCTTCAATGGGCAAGTCTTTGAACTGGAGTTTCCCTTCATACATGAATTCAAGCAGGAGAGCAAAAGCTGGAGCTGTAACAATGTCGCTGTTCAGATGAACAATGTCTCTTTTGTCCAGCTGGTCCTTGTAAAAGAGGTGGAAATACATGCTGCATGAAGCCAGTACGGCTCGGTGTGCTCGGAACTGGGCATCTCCCACCAGAACAGTGCAGTCACAAAGAAAACCCTGATGTCTCTGCTCACTCAGACACTGCAGCAAATGTCTACTGTGGTCTGGAAACTCCATACTGTCTTCATAACCTAGAAACAGAAAGATTTCTGATAAGAGCCCAGTCAGAAACAATTTTGAACTCTCCAGACCCCACATAAAAAGAAAAAAAACAAAAAGCTTGGGCCATGGAGGTAATGTCCTTGATTTTTAATCAGGCTTTATAACCCAAGGGCTGTGAAATCACACATACACAACCTGAGGATGAAAGGAAGAAATGTATACTTTTCAAACTTCCTTGCCTCAGTCTATGACCAATTTTACCTTTCTTGAACTTTAATCAAGTTTTAAAGCCTTAATTTCTGCAAGTCTCTTATTGCGTGCGAATAAGAATTTTGATCTCTTTCAGAGGAATTTAATTAATTCTACCTATCAAATTATGTCCGTCAAAATGGACAGAATAGCTTTAACTTCAAGGGGAAACTCAGAACAAAGAGAGAAATCTCAAAGTTATTCTGGAAGATTCAGAAAACTTAGGTGATCATCTTTTTTATGATTTTTGATACTTGGCTGCACTTTTGCACAATTTAAGCACACACACACACATTTGCCTAAATCAAGAAAAAATAAAATTACATAATTAGCCCAGAAATTAGCAAACAACTTACTTTTAAAGTCAGAGTGTTACAACAACAAAAGCCATGCGTACAAAAACAGATGTTAATGCCTTAAGATTTGCAGGTATAGCACACATGTATGATGAGATCAGAAGGAACTAACACCAACAGATGGAAAAGATCATCTTTACTATGAACAAATCCAAACATTTCTATAATTGCGAAAAAGGGTTCTATTTCTTTGCAAAATATGTGCATCGAGAATATTAAGAACCAAGGGACATTATTTAAATCTGAATATTCTCGTCTAAACTTTGAGCCACTGCAAAACAGAATAAATGAATTCTGTATTAAAATTCAAACTTTTAAATAAATACAAAAACCATATTCAAATGATACTCAAAGGCACTACAGGTTCAACGCACCCCACCTCCACCCTTCTCCTGCCCCCCCTGCCCCCCCAAAGAAAACCCTTGCTAGAAAAAGAGAAAGGATTTTTGTGTGTGACTGTCTTACCTCAGTCAACAGACAATACTTTGTTTCAACATAACTTGATATATTTTGTTTTCTAGCTAGCTTCTACTCTTTCAAATATGCTTTGTTACTCTTGTTTTCTCCGGAGGGAGGGATAAAGTGGAAAGGGAGAAAAGAGGAAGATTTACAAAAGGGCCAAAATTCAACTCCTTAAAAATAAAGAAAACCTGACTTCCCCTTTCCTATGACCAGAAGTGAGGCTCCACATAATCCATCTCAGCAAATGTTTTGGAGATAGATACATACTAATATTCAGAATTACTTCCCTTCTTCCTCTACACTTTGAAACTAAAACTTTCACCCTAAACCAAAAAACATCCTGCAAGATGCCACTGCTAGAATAAACCCAAGATTTATAATACAATCACTTTAAGTGCCCCACAGCTAACATCAATCCTAATCCTTGAGAGGGCTAAAAATAAAGATTGGAGGGCAGCTCACAAGGTAGCCATGATCAAATTAGGAGGCTGAGAGGACAGAGAGGGACGAAGAAGGAAGCTTATAAACATCTGATCCAGCTGACTGTGGCCATATGGCAGCTGCTGCCCAGATAAAGAGATTAAGAATAGAGGAGTGCGATTACAGCTGTCTGGCCAATTCAAGCAGCTCAAATCTACAAGTTCTAAATTAGTCGCTAACACAAAAACTCCTGCAAATAATTATTGTTATGCTGAAATAAAAGATCTCTTAAATATATATTTGAAGGAGAAATGAGGAAACCAGTCAAACTATTCTCCTGGGGACAAAAGTTTTTTTTTCCCTTCTTAAAAAATCTTAGGTTTCAAAAGCACTACAGCTGTATGTTTCAGTAGTGCTGCTGAATGTTTTGAAGAATAAAGTTTCACAGTGGAATTAATTACACAACAATCTAGCTTTTTAACTAGAATAATCTTCTCATGTAAGTTTGAATGCCAGATTCCATACAATTTACTATTTCTTCCCCCCAAAGCAAAAGGAATCTAAATAGCAGGGAACAACAATAAAAAGGCACAAAGTGATCTCAAAAAGCATATAAATACCAAACCTTAACATTTCAAAAATTGAAATATTTCTGTGTATTATTAGTTACTTGCTCAAGTAAAAGGAATAAAATATAAAACTGAACAACCCCAAGACTCTAATAAGATGTTCATTTAAGACTCAATTTCATATATTATTCCTAAACTGGGTTAGAAAAAGTAATGTGATTTTTTTAATTAAATAAACAAAACACCAAAACAGAAATATGTTCAATCTAATCTCTTGCTACTCCTACCTTTAGGACACATAAACCTGATTAAGTCCTTTCCTCTGAGTCTTGCTGGCTCCAGGTCTGTTACATCGGTGGAAAAAAAGCAGACTAAGAGAGACAGATGCAAAGTGGAGATGATGTTAGAGAGGAATGAGATACCTTCTCCACCACAGATCCGCACACACTAACTCCCTGTCTGTGTGTTAGAATAAAAGGCTGAGGGATGGCAGGCTGTCAGCTGCTCTGACATCATGTTCAGATGGAAATGCTACCTCCAGCTGTGCTCCTTTTAATGCCATATGCTACTCCTCTACACTCCTGCCACCAGCTTTTTCTTAGGAGAACTTTTCTCTTCTGTTAGTATAAACAAAATACTTCAAAGTCTCCTTTTTTTTCCAAACTTTCTAACAGAAGAAATTGAAAAACTCAGCATATGGAGTTCTACTGTATTTATGGAATAGCAACACTTCTGTCTTAAGTTGGTGGACTGGCTTACATACTGACAGCACACTCAAGCCACGGTGCTATTCAGGAAATCCAGATTCACTTTTATTCAACTCCAACGTTTAGTTTCAAAGGCTGCTTTTGGATATTTAAAACCAACCCATTTGACATCTCCAGTCCCATTTCAACATTATTATGGCACTTTCCCCCCCTTTTTTTATGCTGAGATAATGGCATACATGTTTCAGAATGTTGGAAGACTACGCAGAACTATTACTTCAGCCTGGTTCACCTTATTATCTCACTCTTAACTACTTATCTATAACTACCTTCTCAGTAAAATTTCTCACACTGCCAGTTTAGGCAAATACCAACTCTCAGTCTCAACAAGCTGAAACTGCACTTTTTGAAATCCTGGAAAGTATTTCAGTACAATGAGGCAAATTAATAAACTGATACAAGTTGCTACACTCACTTAAACTCAATGCAGCACCTGCATATCTTATTTATCAGCAGAGAACCAAAGAGAACTCTTTCTTCCCCTTGATCAGTGTCCCATAAAAATCTCCTACCACGCTCCCCTTGGGTCACTCTGTAATGTTCAAGATCACAAGAAAATCTGTGTGTGCAGAAGGGGGCGGAGAGGGGAGCGAGGTCCAGTTAGTTTGGGAACTTTGCAGTTTTACTTTGTGGATCTTTTCTAACGGCTGATGAAATAGTAATGTAAGCCTGACTGGGCTGACCAGTGCCCAGCGATGTGCTGCGACAGCTGTGAAAATCAAAGACACCTTCTTAGGAGGCAGACTCTTGGGAGAAAGAGCAGCAGAAAAGGAGCTGGGGACAGCGGCGCTGGTGATAACGAGCCCACTTTCTTTAGAAACTCAAGGCAAAGATGTGAAAACTAACAAAAACCCACGTTTCTGTCCTGTCTCACGTTCCCAGTCACAAACTTAACTTTCTCTTAACTTCTCAATGATGATATAATGAAGGTCTATTTCAGAAGGCACTCTTTGAAAATAAATTCCTTCTCAGTCACACAACCTTTTCTCCACAAAGGCCCTCGCCCCATTCCAATATATCCGACATTAATCACCCCATTTACCCAGTGGGGTGGGGGCTGAGTGACAGTTTAATGAGTCCCAAGCACCGCAATGGGCCAGCGACTTCCACTCCACAAATCATCCCCTTCAAGTCTTGCTACCGCGGGTCCAGAGAGGTTTTGTGAGGTTGGATTTTGTTTTTCAAAGGGCGACTGGGGGGCTGGGGGGCACGGACTGGGGAGGAGGACGAAATGCAAATCTTTACGTAGTTCGCTGTGCATAAAACACACAGGGAAAGAGGAAGGTTAAACCACAGGGAAGGAGGTGGAGGGCGTAGAGCCGGTGCAGCAGGAAAACACCTTTAAACAACAGACGAGAAAACAGACCCGGGTCACGGCAACAACAAAAGAAAAGTCGTAAGAAGAAGGGGGGTGGGGGGGAGAGGGTGGTTGCTACCGCTTCCCCGACGCCACAGCGCGCGAGCCCCCGGGGCCTCCCGGCAACTGCACCAGCTCGGGAGGGGCTCCCTCCCCCGCCGGCCCCCTCCCCCCGGGCGCCACTGCAGCTGCACCGGTCCCCGGAGCCGCGGCCGTCCCGGGCGCCACTGCAGCTGCAGCGGCTCCCAAGCCCCCTCCCCCAGCCCGCCGCCCTCCGCACCCGGGAGGCGCCACCGCAGCTGCACCGGCCGGGAGCCCGCCCCGTGCCGCAGCTGCACCGGCCGGGGGGGGCGCGGCGCGGAGCCGGTGAGCCCGTCCCCCGCCCGACCCCGCAGCTGCAGCGGCCGCGTCCCCGCGTCCGGGCCTCCCGCAGCTGCGCCGCCCCCCACCGCCCCAACAGCTCTAACCGCACAAACTAACTCCACTCGCCCCGGAGCCCCCGGCCCGGGCCGCCCTCCGCCCGCACCGCCCCGCCAGCCGGGGCCGCACCGCTAGCGCCCGCGCCCACCAGGGGGCCGGGGCGCGGAGGGGGCGCCGGGTCAGGGGCCGGGGGCCGGCGCCGGGACTCACACGGAGCGGCCCTAAGTCACCGCTTCCCCGCCGCCGCCGCCGCGTCCTCCGCCTCCTCCGCCTCCTCCCGGCCGCCGCCGCCGCCGGACTTGGTGGGCTTCCTCCTGCTCTTGCCCCCCTCCCTCCCGGCCCCCCCCGCCCCCCAATCCCGGCTCCGTCGCCCGCTCCCCTCTGCCCCCTCCCTCCCTCCCACCCACCCCCGCTGGCAGCCGGAGGAGCGCGGCGGAGCGAAGAGGGCCCCACTCTCAACGGCTCCCCATGGCAGCAGCCCAGCGGCGGCCGCAGCCTGCCAGACACAGCGAGGGAGCGAGCGAGGGAGCGAGCTCTGAGCCGCCGGGCCGGGATGGGGGGTGGGGGGGCGGGGGGGCGGGGGGGCAGGCGGGGAAGGGGGAGGGGAGGGGGCGGGAGGACGCACCACGCACGCACGCGGCGGCGCCGGCCAGATGTTTCCCCCCGCCTCCTTCCTTGGCCCGCCCCTCGCCTCCCTCCCGCCCGCCCTCCCTGCGTTGGGCTCCGACGATTGGCCGAAAGCGGCAGAAGGGGCCTCCCTGCCCGCCCCCAAGCCACAGTTTCCTCCAATAGAAGGCCTACTTTCCGGGAGGGCGGAGGGAGTGGCGGGCAAGTGTGGGATTGACAAGACAGTCCAACGAATGAAACAGGCAAATTGGAGCTGCCGCTCTCAAGGACCAATCGCAGGCTGCTATTGCTAGGTGGGGCGGGGCCTAAGGCGGGCGGGGGCCGGTAGCGGAGCGGCGCGGGGTGGAGTCCTCGGGCGCAGCGGCGGCAGTGGCAGCGGCGCCCCTCTGGGTGCCTTGGCCGTGAGAAAGTGAAAGGATCCCGCAGGCGGCTGCGACAGCTGCGGTGGGAGGGGCTTGTTTCCAGGCTCTGGCTGGCGCGCTTTTGGGGGGTGAGGGGAAGGGGGAGAGTTGGGGAACAGGCTTTTAGATGTGCGCCGTGACAACCGTAAACATACTTTGAAACGTCCTGGGGCCTGGCTGCACTAAGTTATGCAGGTATTCTGGGGAGGTAGGGCACCCGGGGACGCCAGAGCGCCAAGTCCGGCCTTAGGTAACTCCCTCCGCTCCCTCTGCTGTAAGTTTTGGTGCCCAGGTCCTCGCCGTCCCGAGCGCTTCATAGTAGGACTGAGGAAAGCTCTTTTGCTGCTTTCTACTCTGTCCCGTCTCCAGGTGGATCCCGGGACGCTGTGGACTCTGTGGAGACAGTTTCTGGGCGCCGTTTGCTTTGCATCATCATGTTACACATAGACTGGGCAGAGCACCTGTATTTCGCGCAGAAGTCTCGTGTCACGTGTCACGTGTAACTTTCACAGTTGCAAGTAAAGTTATTTGCCAAATTACTAAATTTTAGGGAATTATAATGAAATTGATGTTTGCAGGCTCCTTAACCCGAGTCCTTGTTACATATCAAAACACAACTTTAAGCTCCAAGGGAGAGTGTTGGATGTGTCGCCTTTTCTCCCTTATTTCCCTTCAGAAAATAAACTCAATATATTGAATTCTTATTCTTTACAGTTAAACTTGACGATGTCCAAAAAGAAATTCAGAAACCTCTACCCTTATGCAATTGAAAATCTTGTGGAAGAGGCAAGAAGTACACGGAAAAAAGTTTGAATAACAAGTGAGAAAAAATGGTTCAAGAAAATAAAATAGTTGCATAGTGAGGGAGTCAGTACGCTAGCAATTGTCAAATGAAACGTGTTTATTCTTTGCTAACTGAACCGGGACTGGCTAGCTTGTTGCTAACCAACTTGCCAGGAGACCTTTCAACTGGGCAGAATGTGCTTTCACTTTGTTCCAGGTCAAATGGGTAAACTAAGTTGAAAGTATTGTGTGGGCAAGTCAGACATGTTGAATTACTAATAAAGTAAAAACAGAAACGTAAAATTCCTGGAACTGAAATGCCATTAGAAAATCCTGTTAGTAAGAACTGTGATGTTCACTACTCTCTTCTCAACCTTTTCATATGTCTTCATGATTGATCACTGAGGTCAAGGTCATCCTGGATAACCAGAATTTTTTATTCCATGAAACAGATTGTTGTATGTATACTTTTGATGAATTCTAAATCATGGAGTCTGTTGGTAGAGGCCCAATTTCATTTGAGCCTGTTTCAAATTAAGGAAATTCAGAAAAGATCTTGATGAGTGAAAGGCACTATAAAAAAATGTGTAAAGGAGAACATGCTTCAACAACAAATTTAGGGAAAAGGAGTGGGAAACGTTCACATTCTCAAAGCTGTTTCTCATGTACAAAATAAGGAAATCGACTTTCCCTAGATGCATAAAGTATTTGATAAGGTCAGGGTATTAAATAGTAATTCATAAAATAATAATCCATAAAAGCATTCAGATAATCCCATAGAGGACTTAGAATCTCAGTGCTATGGTGTTCATAGCTCTTAGAAATATTTTTTCAGAACATACCTGTCAGTATAGTAACAGCTTCAGACATGTGCCAAGAAGATGTCAGAAGTGAGCATTTTTTAGATCAAATAGTCAGTAATAGAAATTTTGAGAGTTGAGTAGTGTAACCAAAAATATAGATTAATAGGATAGTTAAGAAGCAAGTGTGTTACTCCTCAAATATGTAAAATATTTACAAATTTTCAAAAACATGAAATATTTATACAAAATATTTTGAATATTTCTGACAATATAGTCAGAATCAATAAAATGTTTGTGAAATATTTATTGTGTTCAATGATGAGATATAAAAGACAATGAAAAAAATAAGGCAGGTTTTCTCCCTCCTGGGGCTTAAATTTAGTTGTGGAAAGTATAAATTTACAAAAATCTAAGATATTAGAGAAATTGGCAATGTAATAGGATATGAAGTCAGACTAAATTTAATATTCAACTGCTACAATCACCTTAGCCCTGGTTCCAGGTATGGTTATCTTTACTGTGCCCTTTTAACTAGAAAACAATTTTTATAGTCTTTGATTTTATTTTAACTTGCCTTTAAACATACTATACAAATATATTTTAATAATCTTTGGGACACCAGCATACAAATTATAAATAAAATATTAATATTAGAGATTCTGTTAAACATAATGATGACTGTATTGATAATACATTGGAACCATGGAAGACAGTAAGTCATACAGTAAATGCCACCCCTGTCTCCAAATAAACTCCTCAAAGTAGGGTATGTTTACCTCTACAACACACTGGTTTAGCAAATTGCCAACCTGAAAAGTTACTTGTTTGGCAGAACTTGAGAATTAAGCATCTGTTTTTTTTTTCCCCACTGACACTATTTTAAAAAAAAAGAAAAAGTATATGCAGTCCTTATCATTATTTCCTCTGAAGGAATCCCAGTTCCTATACTCTTATCTAATCCATATTTTTGGAAAGTCCTGATAATAAAGTTTATGTATGTTAGCTTAATCACGGTTAGATTTCTTTCCAGAGACTGATACCAAAAGTGTTTTGGACTAATAACTAATAATATAATATTTAGACAGAACAAATAAAATTTAGTTTCATGAACATCTCTTAAAATGAATGTCTGGCTTATAAATGTGAACCAGAGATCAACTTCTCTTTTAGAAAAAGACTTCATTACATTTGGTCATGGTGAAAAGCGTTAATTTTTGAATGTTGACTTCTTATAAAATGGTATGTATCATTTTATTTTTCTTCAAAAAATAAAGCAAGCACAACTAGTAAAGGGTCATAGGTTTCAAAGTATGAGGTTGTAAATATGACTAAGTTTACAATCTAGGAAAAAAATAAAAATTTTGCTGAAACTTTTCTTAAGTTCATTTACTTTATGAAAAACATGTACCGGGTATTTACACTGATATGTGTACTGTAAATAAGCAAAGCAAACAAACAGGAAAAAAAAAACAGTAAAAATAACTATTGGATACCCTGAAAAACATTGATGATTGCCAGTAAGAAAGGGGAAAACAGGTAGGAGAAATGGGTAGATGGAGTCATTTTGATTATTTGATAACACTTGAACTTTAGTGGTAGTTATAGTGAGGCTTATCCACTTACAGAGTAATTAGACTGTAATCCTGAACTTTTATAGTAATGCAAAACAATAGTAAATTCCTAAATTTTGTTTTAAATAAAAATCTACTTGCTTTAATGTCATAGAACATTAGAAAATTAATGAATTTATTGTTCTCTCTCTAGTTCTCCTTCTTGCTTTCTCTCTTTCTTGTCCAGCTTTTACAAGTGAACAGGTTGAAATGGCCTAACATTAGAAGGTGACAGAAACATAGTTGAAGCAATAATTTTAAAAAATACAAAATGTAAATGAAGAAATGCATACAAATACCACAATTACGTATGAATAAGAAGCATATTTCTTAAAAGATGTCATTTTAAACCATGTAATTTCATAAAGCATATTTTATATCATGTATTATAAATTCTGTAAAACCCGAACATAGTTATTAAATCATGAACTCTTATAAGCCACAAATAGGAGATAAATTATGCTGATTCTCAGCCCTGGAGCAAAAATAATGTTAATAAGGTTTTGATACAAGGGTTTTAACAAATTTTAATAGATCACAGGGGATATACCTACTATACTCAAGAAAAATCAGCCTATGCCAGTAATTCAAACCTGTTTGAAGGTTAAGGGCTGAGAAGAGCAAAAGATGCAATCTTCCCAGAACCACTTTTCCTGTGTAGCAAGTTTTCAGTTGCTTACTGTAAAGCAGTTCTTTTATAATATCATCATAAATCCTGAGACAGCGTAATGGCTGAAGGAGACTAGGTTTGGTTGAGACCAAGTCTGGCCTCTTCAGAGAATTTAGAAAAAACAGAGTCACACCCAGTTCACCTTTTTCTTCTTTTTCTTTTCCTGCTCTGTGCATGCAATAATGCTTATTGCCTTTAACTTTGTGCTATAAATGCATTCATTATCCTCTTTGTGTATGATCACAGGCAACTTTCAAACCACATATTGACTGTTCTTTGTTATATAGTATATCTTTCTGCCATCTATTGATATTTTAATTAATTAGAAACTATGTAAGCATTATTCTAAACAGCTAACTTGTACAAAGTTAATATGTACTCTTGAAAATTACACAGTATCTCCAAAATCCAGATGTTGGAATCCATCATTGGATGGATTGATTTAAAGCATGCATCAGTTTGAGTAGTTAAA